GGGGGGGGGGGGGGGCGATGGTCGCGGCGCAGCCACCAGTGTACTGATCGGATCCGGTATACTGGCTGCTGTATACTGGCTGCTGACGCAGCCAGTATACCTTGCTCTGGCGCTGCGCACCAGCACTCAACCCTAGTAATTCGAATGTTCGAATAACGCGGTACTCCAACTACGTGTCCCCCCCCCCCCGCTTGGCATGTTTCTTGTGATCAGCCGTACTCAGAAGACCGGGCGAAAGCGGCGTTCCGAAGTGCAGCCAAGATCCACAAGTGGGCTATCTCCGATCCTTAGCTTAGGCCTCAGGGTTTGCGACGAACGCCGGGGCAAGGGTGGATGGAGTGCGCTGTGGTACCCGGCGGGTATCCTCCGGCAGGTCATGAACATGTGTCCCACTAAGGGTAAGGTGTAAGGTGTCCAAAGTCGGAAGGTCGCGATTTTTTTGTTTCTTTCCCGTGGATCGGTAATCGCCGACTTGCATGTCAATAAGGAGTGCGTTCGGATGGCCTTGCACCGGCGGGGGGTATAGCTTGCCGCAACAGCAAAAATGGCGGATTGATTGGTGTTTGTGTAGGTGACCAGCCTGTCTGCTTCTTGTCGTTGTCCTTGCGTTTGCGAGCCAGGGCACGCGCACCATCACCAACGGGATGTCGTGCCTTTAGACTGGCAGCGTTTTTAGACGGGCAGCGTTGCAGCGAAGAACGCACAAGCAGCCTTCCCATGGCTAGTGGACGTGGACAGAGCCAGAAAATCCGCCGGCATGGGTTGCGGTAATGCGGTTGGTGCTTGTGTATTTTCTCTGTTGTTGCGGAGGGCGGGGGCGGGGGGCGCAGATGGCCTGAACTCGGCACCAGCTATACTTGTCGAGGGGGGAGATGGATTGGGTGGGTGCAGTCGGGGATCGGACTGTGAGTTTGGCTCTGTTCTACAGCACGCTTCGTGCCCGCCGTGAGCATGACGCTGTCCAGGGAGAGCTTACAGACAGATGGGAGAGGTACTTGAAACGTTTTGCAACACTTGTCCCACGTGTGGTGTAGAGTATCGCACACAGCAACCAATCCTACGATAGATCTGATTCGTCTCAAGGGCTTTCGTTGTGCTTTTGGATTGACTATGTGTGCGCGATACATGTAAATTTTTGTCGAACGCTTTTCTGAGGTAGCTCTCGGGTAAGGGGGTGGGGGAGAGGTGTGGGGGCTGTCGCTAGAATCGGTCTTCTGGGGTGAACATCCCTGTTTCGTTTCTCTCTCTCTCACAACCTTTAGAGTTTATGTACTTCTATCTTGTGGCAGCTACTATGTTTTGGCAGCGATGGTCCGGTGGAGTCTTACGCGGCATGAGCACGGTGTTGTTCAGCCCTTTCCGTCTCACGGACGGTGCTTTAGTCAATATTTTTTTTGCGACGGTTGCTGTGGTTGTGTTATTGTTGTGGTCGTTGTAGTTGTCGTTGTAGTTGTCGTTCTAGTTGTGTTGTTGTCTCGTACGTTGTGTTCTAGTTGGATGGACGGTGGGGGGGTAGAGATGCGAATTACATGTTCGTGCAAAACCGGGTTTTCAAGATTTCACCCCCAACATGTAGGCGAGAGTGTCATCTTTGATCGTCGGTACTGGTTCTACCCCCTCACGGAACGTGGTCACGGAGCCGGTAGTTTAACTTGCGTCTTCAGGGGGCCTGAGTGCTCGAAAATCACGCCGGTTGATGTAGTATCACGGCATCTCTATCAGGTTAGCGAAGAAGAGCGCCTCGTCTCACGTTCCCGTTTCACATCGTGCGTTGCCTCCGACGTCTCTTCGTTCCGTGCGCTTTGTTCACTCCACCTCCGTACCCCTGCCTCCAATTAGCTGAGTGGGTAATCGCTAACAGTTCCGGAAACATTCCGGCACGCCGCCCTCCCTGCTCCAGCATGATAATCTCAAACGGGATACGAACATCGATGATGAAAGCAACGCTGCCCTCCCTGCTCCAGCAGGATAATCTCAAACGGGATACGAAACATCGATGATGAAAGCAACGCTGCGTTTATGCAGAAACGACATACAAGGGCAAGCTAAACTCCTACCAAGGAGACTCCCCACTCGCTGGTCACGGGCAAACCCAGCCATCCCTTCCTGTAGAGCGGCAACGATAAATCTCCCGAATCGTGATGCAAAAATTAGAACTTTTCGTTTTCGTACTGTTGTCGTACACCACCGAACTGCGTCCGTACTAGTACGACATCGGCGAGTCCGAGCCAGTCCTTCTCCTAGTACTGAAGTATGGCATAAACCACCTTCGCAGAGGTCGTTCAAGCCATTTCGCCGTCAAAGGGAAGTGATGCGTGTTTCATGAGATTGGTGAAAAAAGAAACTCATTCCTGGTCGTGATCGCATATCCGGAGAACTCCGCAGTGAACTCACACATGATGAGACTTTGTATACCGTGGGTTGGTCATGTCGCAAGGGCCTGTTGTTTCTGTATTCAAGTGAAAATGAAGCGCCAAATTACATAGGAGCGGTGCTCGCCTCTACAAGGTATTTTCTTTTCCAGGTAATCTATCGGCGGGGGCGATGTATGTGACTGCATCTGTTTTTCATCTCCGTTTATATTGTATCTTCCAGCTCACGCACCCCTGGTGGAAAGCCCCCGTCCCCCTCGCGGGAACAAGCAGCGTAGCGGCAGTACGCCTGTTTCTCCACTACCAATATCGCTGCCACCGGGAGAAGAGGCTGGTGGGCGGCACAAGCCCTGTGCAGACTGCGGCCGCTTCCGACTTGTCTGCCTTACGGCGAGTACAGCGGCGACGGGGCCACGGCTCGCTCCCCCACCGCCGCCGCCACCGTGTAGGACACTAACGTTGTTGTTGGCGTTGGTCTCTCGCTCACGCTGTTTCTCGATACTCCTGTATCGTGCATTGTTCGATGCGAGACGCCCGGCCGAGGACATTTGCGTTTGACGGTTGCACATCGAAAGAGTGAAATCGTCGAAGTGCGGTTTGTGGAAGGAGGATGAGGGTCATGGCGGGGGGACAATGTGCCTAGGCAAACTACACACGTGGGTGTGGTGGGATCACGGAGAGGTGTTACGCAGCGTGCCCGGTGCGGTTTATCGCCGGTGAACTGCAAAAAATTGTCGAATCTTCTCCATTGAGGATGTGATCCATTACTGTTGCGTAAGAGGGCTGCCCGCCAAAGTGCGCTATGTGAAGGTTGATGCCGTTTCGTCTACCGTGACCGGACTGGGGTCATTGTTTCGAATGTTCTTTTCCGACACTGCGTTTGTGTTGGCAACAAGATTTCGCCTGTTTCTAGCTGCATATTCCGGAACTTCCCGCATTACCCAAAACAGAGCCATGCAACCCTGCCGGGGGTTGAACTTCACCATGGCAAAATTATTCATGCGGATCACACCCACACCCACACTCACCAGTCGCAATTTTCGAGCATTTTGATGGTTCGTCTGACCCTTGCCGTTGACCCTACCCGCGCCTCTCCGGAACCGTGCCGTGCCCACGACTGGTTCGCCAGCCTCGGTGCGGCCTCGTTTTCCCTATCGGGGCTTGCGTGATTCTTGATCCCTCGGCTTCCGCCGTTCTGACTGCTAATCCATCCGTGGTTGGACGACGTTTCCGAACGTTTGGAATTGTCGGGTCGTTTGGTCGGGGCCGCAGCTGCCACACGCTCTTCTGCCACAGACCTATGAAGCCATGGTCGATCGACAAAGCGCACACAATTGTAGGTTTTGCTCTTTGCCGGGAAGGGTAGGAGTGGGATGGAGACTAGAATGGGTTTCAAGTGACAACGACGACAACGATAATAATAACGACAACGACAAGGCAACGGCCATGACAGCGGCAACAGTTACGGCGACGACGACACAACCAAAAACATTTGCCAACAGGCCACGATCGTGCAGGGAGAAACTGAAAAACCATGAAAGCCAGTGTAAGTGATCATGCGTTGTGCGCATTGGACCGGGTGATTCAATCAACTTGGGCTCGGAAGGTAAGAAATCGTGGGATGAAAGAGGCGCGAGGGATAGGGGGGCCAGTCGAAGTCCATCTTTACCGCCGGCCGGTTTTTCGCGTGTTTGCGCTAGGCAACTAGGATATCGACCTACAGAAGTCGACACCAAAAGTATTCATCCTGTGATACCAAGACATTAGCCGGTCATACCCTCTCATCCCCCTTCCCAGACTCCCTTACCTAAGCGCATCCGGGGTCTTTAGCATTTGTTTCTCGAGCCAAGAGTTTCGGGCTCTCAGGTCCTTGATGCACAACGCGAACTCGTCTCGCTCCCTCGCGAGCGCTATTAGCGCATCCTTCTGCTCCTCCTGTGCGCCGAACGGGGAAGTTTCATTTGCTCGTGAACGCCCTTTTTGGTCGGAAGCGCAAAACACGGAACCGTTTCACGCTCATGATGACGTTGCGGGGGAACCATCGTTGACCCGAACCCTTCGGCTTTTTCAGATGGTACACCGGTCGTGGAGGGGGAAGAGGGGGAAAGGGATCCCCCGAATGGCTCACTTTAATTGTTGATGAAATATACCTGGTTCTCATTTAGGGCGCATGGAGGGTTTCGATGCAACGGAGTTTGACAGTGTTGAGAAACAACAGCATGTGAGACCCAACAATGTTCTTTGGGATGCGGACGTACGTGCTTGCGACCGCACCTTCTCCCGCAGAAGCTTGAGCTGCACCATGCTGGCCTCCATGTCCTCTTTGCTTAGCCCCGACTTCTGCTGGATGTCCAACACCTCGGGGTTGACCCGCGCGAGTCTGGCTATCTCCGTTTCGTAGGAGTCGTGTGCGGGTGGCTCCAGCCTTTCGGTGCGGCGTGAAGCCGCGTACACATGGCAAAGTGGCAGTCAGAGAACAACCTGGGACAACGTTCTATTTTTTTTATGCTTCTTGTTTCTTCCCTCTGATAGTCTAGACTATGCGAGCTCTATATTGAGGAGGCACCGAGAACCGTGTACGACAAAGGGCGTTGTCTCGGTGTCAGTGCCAACTGACAGAGAGACGGAAACTGGTGAGCAAAATACTGTCGGCTAGGGTAGTATTCAATATGGGACGTAAGCCCGAATCGTGCCTTTGTAAATAAACAATCACCATTACCCTCAGCAAGCAGGGCGAACGCAAGCATTACTCTGGTTTCGCTTACTTGAGTCGAAGGGTTTTGATGGTGGCCTTGAGGGAAGAGATTTCCGCCTTCAATTGCGCAGCTTGAACCCCTCGCGCTCCTGCCAACTCTCGGTACTTGTGAGCCTGTCACATAACCACCGCAAACACACACGGTTGAGCGCCTCCAATGGAGGCGACCGTTTCGGGAGATGAAATCAACGTTCGACAATTCGACACTGAAGATGGCAGAGCCAAGTGCTGATCCCGAGCGATGACAGTTTTGTTCTCTGTCTCCTGTAGAGCTAACCGACCGGATCTTGACCGAAATCCAGGCCAGAAAACCAAGGTTCTGATCGCCTCATAATGAACTCGAACACAATAGAATAGGTGTGTGTTTTCCATTTTAGATCATTCCGACGAAGACTCGAAAATCTGCAGCGAAGTTCGTCTTGCTACTGTTGGCCACCTGGTGCTTTGCCGCGGTCTCGGCTCGTTGCAAGCGATCGACCGTCCCCCCTATCACCGCCTTCCTCGTTGAAGCACTCCCGGCCAACCCCGACTCGGTCACCGCTAGCTGGCGCCGTAGAGCCACTACCTTTGTATGTTGGCCAAGTTCCCACCCGGTTTTCGGCATCAGAGAAGGGGCGGGAGGGTGGGAACCAACCTCAGTCCATTGCCACGAAAGACACGACTAGTGTGTGGCATCTCGATGGCATCATGGATTCGGAATTCGTCCCGAAATCTAGCTGTGACGACCATGCAGAAACGAGGAACACGCTCTATGGTAACGAAAAGGGGGACAAGGCTCAAGGCGTTGCGGAGGAAGTACTTCCTACAATCCCTGCAGCAGACCCCCCCGCCCCCCCCCCCAATAACCATTCCTCTTGAAAATACCAATATACGTTGCGTGGCGGATTGTCTTCATTTTCGCACGGGGTGCAAGGTCACTTGGCGCTTCATCAACCGTTTCTGTAACGTAGACAAGGTGGTCACTCATGGAACTTTATCCCCTATCAGGCCCCAGATTTATTCCGAGCTTGATGTACACCGTTCTGAACGAAGGCTGGATGCTCGGCGTCGGGTGTGAATGCCTTTCGGACGAGAGAAGGGGATACCTGCATCTCCTGGGCTCTGGCTTTCTCCCGTAAATTGCTGTTCTCCGTCTGCCACTTCTGAAACATGTGCAGCTGTCGACGAAATTCCTTTCGCTCCAGGACCATCAAGTTTTTCTCTCGCCGAGCAGTCTTTTTGCACCTGAGCCAACAGCAGCAGGGAGTACATCAAGCAGTAGGTCGTAAGGGCACAACGTCAAGCGCCATGGTCATTTCGGCAGATCGTTTGCTCCCAAGAAATGAACCCAACCTTGTGACCTCATCAGGTGGTGTAAGCTCGGGGTATCAGTGGTAGCTTCTGCACGTTAGAGTCCAGGGTAGGACTCGATAGCACGGTTGTAGGTGTTCACCGTATCGATTTCACGGTACAAGCCCACCGTGCTGCAAAATGTGCCCTGAAAACGTCAGTACGTTTTCCTCAGATCATGGACAATCCATCACCGGCTTTGAAGTTGGACAGCGCTAAGAGAGACAAGAATAAGAGACACTTAGATCTAGGCAGCCACGCACGTCTACGGCATGGGGTTTAGCGCCTACAGAGTGACATGACCAACGCCCATCTAGAGGATAGCCACCATGTCTCATTCCTTGAATTGACAACGTTTTCCCATCATTGATTGCACTCAAGTCGGCGTGACCAAGATTAATTATGTTGCTCACCTCTCTAACTCCTCCGCCATCCTCTCGGCCGCTTTCGGATACTCCATGAAACGGTCCAGTTGGGCCTGCAGGCGCAGACGTAGTGTTATACCATCACCCTCAGACAGGATAAACACGACGTTTTGACCGAAACAAGAGTGAATGACGACGTATTGGCGGAATCAACCGTGGTATCAATTATCTCAAATGCTCGACACAAGCACAGCATTCAAACAGTATTTATTCAGGTGCGAACAGAGAGGTTTCAGAACGGGCGCAAAAGTGTGTCTTCGGTTCACACAAGGACAACAATCGCAGACGACTTCATCATAGTCTCTGCTGGTAACAGGCAGTTTACGATGCACCAGCGTATTTCCGTAAAACAGGTGGACTAAACTGAACGTGGGGGTCCTTGCCTTATCATAGTCGGGGACTACGAACGTATTTTGTGTACTCTCGTTGTCTAACCGCATGTTCCGAAGTTGCTCCTTCGTCGCTGTTTACAATATTTTCTTGATGGGAACCGTAGCAACGAATTAAACATGAGGCACCTGGAACTCCTTTTCCTTGTCCTTGGCGGTCTGACAAAGCTCTTTGTTTCGCGCTGCCGTCGCTTGGAGTTCTTGAGTCAGTATACTCTTAGCTGCAGACGCGGCTATGGCTTCTTCGTGACTAGATACCACCCGGTAGATGGGTGTCGCAGTGTTCATGGAAGGCAAGTACAAGTAGTGCATGTAGCCAGCCCCGACGTGTGAGATGCCGAACGATATGAGGCCGAGGGGCATCGGGAACGGGGCTTCATCAGGTTGACATTTTCGGCCATAGTGGCAAAAAATATACACGCCACCCTCAGGATCTCTTGCCGTTTCTTTGGATCCATGAAAAGCACATAACCATTCCCCGAAGTGTCAAATGCCCATCATCCACGCTCTCAGGAGAGAAGGCTGACTACCCGGCCTCTTTCCTTGTTCCCTTCCTCGAACTTCGGAAATGGCCTCGCCCAACCCAAAGAACCACGCGCCACCGCAAAGGGTACGCTTTCGTTCACGGGACAGGACCTCACACGAATACAGAACATGTCTACGTCAAGCACCTGTCCTTGGCCGCGCTCTCCGCTTCCGCCACTACTCGCTGGCCGTCGATCTCCATCTGGCGAATTTTCTCTTCGAGAAGCTCCGTGCGTGCCAAGAGATTGGCGCGCTCGGCCTCGTGCACCTTGCGTTAACAATCGTCCAAGTACCGATGAGCTACAGTACCAGATTGATCGGAGTGCATGCTCTACATACTAAGGCACCGTCGTGGGTAGCTCGCCGAGGTACATACATATCGTTTGCCTTATTGTGGATCTGGCTGCTACGCTCACTCGCAATCGACCGGAATCCGTGCATCAAAATAACTGAACGAACGACATGTGGCCCTTGAATATAGGGCCTTGTAGTGGAGCAACAAAATAGTGCATGAGCACAATGTCCACGTTGTTTGAGCGTGGCATTGATATTTTGTATTTTGGTTGGTTGTCGTGACAAAAATCTCCACCCCCGTTCTCACTGTCTACTTGTGAGCGCGGAAAAATTGGCACCATGAGCCCAACCTATGTCTTGCGGGTTGGTTCTACCGCTGGACATGTAGTTTGGCGTGCTGGAATCTATATTCGTACGTGCCCCGGACCGAATCCAAATAAATATAATCTGGCACTGCTATTGACTACTCTGCTTCAGGTTTCGGACCACCTGGATAGCATCGGTCGCCTTCTCCCTTGCAAGTTCGGCCGACGCCTCTAAGTCCACGCGATGGATGTCCCACTTGGACAACTGGGCGACAATATTTTTCTTTATTTGCGAGGCGAACTCCGCTGGATTTCCGTGCACCTTTGGGTGGGCGAAAGTATGGTGAGTGGGGCACCGCGAGAATGATGTTTGCGGATTGAACTCGTCGGTGGTCAGCGAGTGAGACAGGCACACGATGTCGGTGCCTTTGGAAGTGGCACTTGTAGTGGTACTGGTGGTGGCGGTTGGGGTAAAGACACCTCTGCGAGAACGAGAGCTAATGTACATACATCCGTAACGTGTGTATCAGTTTTGATCCCTCCGTTGCCTTCAGTTGCAACCGCAGGTGTTCCGCTTCTCCCATGGGTGTAGACTATTCTTCGAGAGTAGTTAATCAAGTACAACAAACCTCCATCAGAACGGCGCCCTTGTTGTCCGACATCTGAGTCCCCTCCGCGCGTCCCACCCGGCGGGCCATCGCGAGGCAGACCTCGTTGAGGATCATCTCCGCCTTGCCAACGGCGATGATCTTGGCACGGACTTCGGCCTTGTAGGACTTGAGCTCGCGCTGCTTTGAGCTCAACTCGCCTATTGTAGAACGGATAGGAATGAGGGGAGCACGGGAATGCCAACCATGAAGAAAGACATATGCTAGAACTGGCTGCAGGCATCCTCACAAGAGAAGACCCCAAGGACCTTGCAAGCAAGCACACTGTGCTGCAGGCAAAACGGTACCGTGGAGGTACTCAAGTAGTCCGAATATCAAACCACCCGCACCTTCCAATTGCGTGCAACGGTTCTCCAATTGTCGATGCCGCAGCTCTATCTCCTGTTTCTGAAGCCCCAACTCTTGCAGCGACCGAGTAGTATCCTTGATGCTCTGTTGTGCTTTCTCCAGCTCTCCCTCTTCTTCAACGTCTAAGTAAGCAACCCCGTCGACATTGTTGTCTCCAGAGGGGGTTCTTCTCCGGCCAAACAGACGCCGACCTTCTCCTTCCTCGTGCACGGGACCGGTTGTGTTTTCATCTCCGCGTTTTCTATCACCAGCAATACCAGGGGTGGTGCTCCTCATTAGTAGCTGTGGGGCTGACACGGAACTGACGTTTCTGCTTATCCTTTGGCCATCGCCACGCGTTCTCGACCCCTTCCTCTGCTGTCGCTGTCGTTCGGTGTTTTCGTCCCTAAGTTTGGCGTCTACACCAGGACGGTTTGAGCTGCTGCTGTTTGCCGCTGTTGTTCGCAAGTTTGCTGAGCGCGGCCGTCTTTTGCTGCCTCTGGTTGCCTTATGGCGAGTTGTTTTCTTCCCTTTCTTGAGAGGTGCGTCAGCAATGGAAGCATCGCGGAGGCCCTCATCACTGTTTTCGATGTGTTCGATTTCATCCATCCTGATTAGCTGAGAGGGGAGTCGCGTCTCTGTTGCTGCGGATCCAACCCTCTTGGTCAGATATCAATGAGGAGAACGTACAGCGGTTCTTTTGGACGTGCACGTGTGTACTATGCCAGTGATGCTGCCAGAATAGAGAGCGGTGCGGAGAAACTCGACCTATCACTGCTGTAAATATACGCACGCGCGGCGGAAAAACGAGTCGTTCGGAACTGTAACCTGCTGTCGGGGCGGCGGAATCTACTGTTGTATAGACTGCATACATTCGTTTGACTCTGCCTGATGCGCATTCCATGGCAGAAATGCGAATCGACTGTCAATGCTTCCATCATGTCCTATTTTTTTTGCTCTCGTCGATTCGCATGGAACCCCCCATCATCCCGATGCTCCACACGTTCGATCTTCCGATATCCAATGATAAGAGCCTTCTTGTCTTCTTGTCGTGCCGCCTCACGTCGAAGCGTGTTCAATTCTACCGCATCACGAGGAACAAGGAGGACAAGGAGACAATGAGAGCATTCTGCGTATCGATACGCGCATGTTCGCAATAGCATTCCACAAGATCTATTGCCACGAAGACTCCACCCTTGTATCTTACTGTTTCTCTCGTTTGGTTAGTCGTCACCGCCATATTGTGCGCAGTTTGAGATTCCCTCGTGGCGAATGAACCAGACGATGAAATCTGCTTGTCTCCCCCCGACAAGCCCGTTGAGTGTTTGTGTGTTTTCGTCCTATTTATCAAGGCGACAGTCCCCCCATTTTTGGTGGTGAGACGTGTACTACTTTTTTCAGCGTATCTAGAGTACTAGTCTACACTTTTTCAGTGTATTTTTTCGTACAACTAAGGCTGATTCTTATCGATTCGTTTTTTTTTCACCGATTCGTAATTTTCAACACGGAACCGGTTCCGGGTTTTCCATTGGTTCTAATCGGCAGAGGCGCGCCTTTTTTTCAAAATCCCGGAAAGCGTCGATGCCGACGTACACACACCGGTCACGACCAGGCGAGAGGCCCGAGGCATACCACAGCAGACGCGATAAACCCACACCATGAACAACAACGCCGTAGCAGCGGCAGGCCGGCCATCTAGAGCGAAATCGTTGCCTCTGAGACTGCAGGATGCTGGTGAAAGTGGTGCTGCTGCTGGGCATGGGGTCGCCCAGACCGCGCCTGCTGGCGCGGCACAGCGGGCACCGAGCGGCATGGCCCGCCAGGCCGTTCACAGCAGGGTTACCCCCCTTACTGGTACACAACAGGGTATTCCACCTGGCGCGGTGATGATGCCGGGCTTCTCGGACGACGCTGATCGGCAAGCTCGTCAGGCGGCCTTAGTAAAGGTTCTCAACGACAAGCGATTTGGCGACGCCCCACAAAAAAAATGGACCGAGTCGGAGAGCGGCGGCGACGACGACGAGGGGGGGGGCAGCCCGACGTCAAGTGGCGGCAGCAATGTTTCGTTAGAGGACAGTTCAGCTCCGTCGGACATTGGCTCACAGTCGGGAGATGTCGTGTTCGAAAAGGAAATTCGGGAAGCAATGACCGGGGGAGGGGGAGCGGGCACGAGGACCACAAACCACGGCAAGCGAAAGGCGAGCGCCGGCGGCAGCGTCGTAGGGAAGAACAAAGCAGCAGCATCCCATCACGCGAGTGCCAAAAAAGACCGGGGCAAGGACTACCCACACTGGGCCACACACTTTCTGAAGCGGACATGCGGGCACCGCAAGATCCCGAGGATGTCGCAGAAGAGCAAGGGTGTCCTGGTGGCGGCCCTGCGATCTCTCGACGCCAACATGAAACGGCCATCTCCGTACTTCGACGACCTCGATGCTATCGCAGCCGGTGAGATGCTGGTATTGTGTAGATTCGTCGTCGATTAGAGTCCCAGCAGACTACACAGAGTATCGACAAAATATAGGTAGTTACTCTGCAATTGAACGCAGTGTGCGCAGAGGAAACAAAACAAAATTACTGCTGTGTGCGTGTAGTGCCCGCTTCAAATCAACCTATTTGTACAGAGTAGCAGATAAATTACGGCATGCTCGAGAGCTGTTTTTTTTGCCCCAAGTAGGTGGGGTATTGAAGGCACTCACAGCGTACCACACGGCATGCTTTCTTGATTATAGTCAATCGGTGGTGCACCGACCAATACGGTAAATCTTTGGGTGTTCTGTCCTCTCACGCCCAGAGGAAGTAAGGTAAGGTGAACGATGTTTTGTGGAAGACAGTCGCCAGGAATATGTACAATTTTGCCAAATTCGGGCGTGTACACCTGAGGCTTCCTCTCATGCGAAGGCGTATTCGTTGTCTCGGCCGCTTTCTCATATCCGGGCGTTCGGGCGTTCGCGCAGGCAAATCTGGACGCGGCAGCGAGCAGGAGGAGGGGGAGGAGGGAGTCATCCCGGCGAAAGCGCTGCTTATGTTTCGAGGCGTTATCAACATGGTCGCCCTAGCACGTGACAGAACTGAACCGTTTACAGTCGAGGGTATGGACTACAGTGTGACGGACCTTTACGACGCCATGGAGAAGGAAAACACACCGGAACTGGAGGATTCTGCCGGCGGGAGTTCGTCGACGGGTGGTGCAGCCGGACCGGACGGGGGTGGTTCCGCCGGAGGAAGTGGCAGCATCACGGAGCGCAAGGGCCCACACTGCATGATGCGGCTCGTTGGGATCCTGTGCGAAGACTCCATCCGCCCACTTGTCATCAACAGCCGCTTGCAGGCGACCCGGCAGGAGCTGGACACCTCAGCAGTTGGGCCGCGGAAACACTTGTGGACAGAGGTCACCGACCGCTTCCGAGACCCTCGCCACCATGTGCGTGCTGGGGGTAGGGGGTTGATTGGCACGGATCGGACGAGAACGTTGTACAAAAACAGTTGCCGAAGTGTATGTTGACAACACATGCCGTTCAGTGATAGTTATTTTTAGGCATGGTATTCAACACCTCATAACGTCCACGGACGATCGCGCCATCGTTTTAGGTAAAATGCCACTAGGTATCCAACCCCAAGAGCGGGTCAACCTGCTGTTGACGTCTACCGGTAACTTAAGTAGTTGTTGCTGACGCCGACGACCATACTGCTGTAGATATTGCTGTAGTTGCTTCGTTGCCTATTATAGTGAAAAACATTGAAAACGCGCTGAAATTTGTCAAAAGAATGCACAGAAAGCCAGACAATATTTTACGCCAGAAGAAAATAACAGGCCGGGAAAAGACCGACATTGGCCCTTCCCGCAAAAGAGGTGCATTCCCCCCGTTCTTTTTTTTTTTCGTATCGAAATCGAGTTAAATTCCTCGCACGTCCGGGGGGCGTCATCTTTGTAGGTAGGTATAAGGAACACGTGTATGATCTGCGTTGCTCCTTCCCTCGCTCCCTCGCTGTATGTCTGACCTATCGTTGCTGTGGACGATTTTCAGGTGAGAAAAATCGTGGACGACGAACAAGTGAGTCACGTCAACCCGAACATCATCCAGCAACCGAACATCTCGGCGGAAAAGATTACCAAGATGTGGTCTGCGGCAAAGGCGAAATGGAACACGCCTAATGCCAACTGGAAGAGTGAATCCGGCAACAACCAGCCATGGCTTTCATTCGCCCAAGGTAAGAGATGGGCGACGTAGGGCTTGGTATAAAACAGCGCCTGTTTTCTCCAGGAACCTTGGGCGATTTTGTGGCCGTGGCGTCAATTGTGCCGATCCTACTTCAGCGTGTAAGTGCTGCTACGGTCGGCGTTTTGATATTGCACTTGTAGTTGTCAACAGTGTTGTAAAACGTACTCCCGGGATGACGTCCACGTTGAGGCCTGATTGAAAAGGATTGTCTGCACCATGAGCTTTTATCGTGTATTTTGAAGCAAGACCAAACACCTTACCAATTGCTCCAAACAGACCACTCCCCGCCCGCGCTTTGCGCTTTCTTTTTTTTTCACAGGGGACACGGACACGTACATTCTCGGTTGCGCAATCGAGAAATACCCCGAGCTTGACCAAGTGTGCAACAATCCCCTCCCGGTGGACGCTCAGCGAGAGGACGACGGGACCGGAGAGGGCGATGGCTGTACAGGCGGTGCCGAGCGCCGGGCGTCCGCCAAGCGGGAGGGCGCGAGGCTCGACGAGCAGAACAGGCGGGGGACGAAGCAGAAAAAGAAGGGGGGGGGGCAGAGCGTGGCAGAGGCTACGTCCGTTGCCATGAAAACCGCACTCTTAGATATTGAGCCGCTCCTGTCGCGTGGCGGATCGGAGAAATCTGAGTGGCGACTGAAACAAGAGGAAGAGGAAAGCAAGTCTGCTGCCCTCGATACCAACGCTGTTGAATACGCTCTGCAGAAAGCAATGTGCGCCGACCACCAGTAATATTCGGAGTAGATTGTGGGAGAGAAGGAAGAAAAGCGGTNAGATATTGAGCCGCTCCTGTCGCGTGGCGGATCGGAGAAATCTGAGTGGCGACTGAAACAAGAGGAAGAGGAAAGCAAGTCTGCTGCCCTCGATACCAAGGCTGCTGCATACGCTCTGCAGAAAGCAATGTGCGCCGACCACCAGAAATATTCGGAGCAGATTGTGGAAGAGGAGGGACAAAAGCGGCCTGGTTACCAGACGAGAGTAAAATTCATGGAACAAATGGTAGCAAAGCTCGAGAAGGAGGTGTTTGGCGGCCAATAACACCCACATGCACTGCTGGACTTGCCTCCGTGCAATCGTCAAAGTGGAAGCGTGTGGGCNTCGATACCAAGGCTGCTGCATACGCTCTGCAGAAAGCAATGTGCGCCGACCACCAGAAATATTCGGAGCAGATTGTGGAAGAGGAGGGACAAAAGCGGCCTGGTTACCAGACGAGAGTAAAATTCATGGAACAAATGGTAGCAAAGCTCGAGAAGGAGATGTTTGGCGGCCAATAACACCCACATGCACTGCTGGACTTGCTTGCGTCCGTGCAATCGTAGAAGTGGAAGCGTGTGAGCGTGTGCTCCTGTTGTGCATGAGTCACCATTGTTTTTCGTAGCGTTAAGCACCGAGGATACGTGCGACTATGCAAAGACGTGTGATTTTGGTTGGCAACAACAATTGAGAGGATGCCTTGAGGCAACAAAGGAGTATGAAGGATAACATGTGATTGAAGAACGCCGAGACCGTTGTGGTCCACGGGCAAGCTGCTGTGCCGGCAGTAAACGAACACGAGGGTGTTTTTTTTTTCCCACTCTCACGGCAAGGATTGCTTGTTGCGAGGGCCGTGGCTATTTTTTCTGTTGTGGTTTCGGGGGGGGGGCTATTTTTTTTTTGCGCATGGTGAAGTCAGTGCCGGCAGTAACGAACGCGAGGGTGTTTTTTTTTTTTCACTCTCACAGCAAGGCTTGCTTCTTGCGACGGCCGTGGCTATTTTTTTTGTTGTGGTTTCGGGG